CTCCGTGCTTTATCTTCCTTGAATTTAGTGTGCAGTCTCTTTTTCACTGGTCGCATACTCGCTTAACAGATTATGTAGCACTTGTAGTTTTTCTACAATGAAAACAAGGTTTTCTGCGCGAATAGGTATTTGGAGTATCGTAAAAAAATCAGTCCGTGCTAGGCATCGTAAAAAATCAATGTTTTTTTCAGTTTTTCATGAACATTTTCAATTGCGTTTGTAAAAGCATTCTCGGAAAAATGTCGCTTTGCTTTATTCACACTTATGCCAATTACTGTTTTTATGCGACCGACGAAAGAGAAATTTCCGTTTATGTCTCAGTGAAAGAGTCTTTTATAATTCAGATATGCCCTAATCTGCGAGACATTGCAGTTATGCACTGTGTTCTACCGGCACAAAAGTTTTTTTGAACTCATTGAATAGGAAGCATAAAGGAATTTTATGTTCTCGGCGTCTTTTTGCCAAATGCATTACTGTGGAATAGTAAAATAAGTGGTAAGGGATTGGAATGAGAAATAAGAGAAAATGTGGACAGTAAAAGAAAACTGCTTTGAAAACTGCTTGTTCTCTTCTCGAATTAAGGCGTCAGTTGTGCGTATAAAATTTTGTAGGTATGTGACAACGTTTTGGACGGGAGGAAGTTGAAGTTTAAGCGAGTTGGGATTGAAGACAGATAAAAAATCTTTGCTAAATTATGAGACTTCTTTTCCAACACTAATGTGTCTACAGGAGCAACACTTTTCACTTCCACTGTTACTTGGAAGAATACCATGTTTGCTCAGAAGGAAAAAAGCAGCGGCCTTCGCGAAGAACCAAGAAATTGAAGAGAATTTTATAGAAATGGGCATTTTGTTGTTTAAGTACCGCTCCGATGCTTGAAAATACTGAATATGACCTAGATTACAGCAAGTGCAAATGGCTTCCAGCAACGATCCGTAATGCACTCAGCGAAATGATCGATATTTCGCTTTTAAAGGAGCCAGCAATGTTCTTGCTGTGCGTATCGAATTTATTTGGAATGCTTGGCTTTTACATACCTTTCATGTTTCTCATTGACATGGCCGTTGCAAAGGGACATTCCAGAGCCAATGGATCATTGCTGCTGTCCATCATTGGTATAACCAATACTTTTGGTTGGTTATTATGCTCCTTGATGTGTGTCTGTTTTTGAATTTTGAGAATCTAGTCACTGAAGTCAATTTTTCATCATTTCCCAGCCATGCGTAACAGCTTAGTTACCAATATTGCTGAATTGAAAAGCCAAGCATAACCGCGCTGTCGTCTTTCATCTCCTCATTTCTTACCTCCGCTCTCTAGTATACAGATGCACTTCCTCTGAAGATTATCCAAGTGATCGGTTTCCGCCTCGATTCAGTCCACTCCGTCCTGTTTCTGTTGTTAAAAAAATGATAAATTAGTTTTTGGTTTAGATCACAGTTGCATTAAAACCGTGCTAATGCTTCTTTTCCTTGCATAATTCGAACGGTTTGTTCGATACTTCACTGG